AAAAAAGTTGGCCACACCCACAGAACCGGTAGTAACAAATTTTACATTTCACCACTGGTCTACGGAGATTCTCAGTCATCCAAGTCGTGGATGTTCCAAAGATGCTTTTTTCCAAAAAGACAATTGGGCTTCGTTTTTCCTTGAAGACGTTTGACTTCTCATCCAAGAAGCTTCGTTCAGTTTCGGTCAGAACTGAAGAAGCTCCTTGGATGAGAAGCCAAAATGTCTTCGAGGAAAAACGAATGCCAGTTGCCTTTTTGGAAAAAAAAAACATCTTTGGGAGATGATGGAAGCCACATTCCTTCTTGCAGTGGCTTGTCTGGTCTTGCTACATTTCTGAATCACCCCTGACAGCTCATTGTCCAAGAGACATTTCTGAGTCTCTCTTTTTTTTTTTAAATTTTCCCCTGCAGGTGTTAGCTGCAGGTTTTGTAATTGAAAATTAGCTCAGGATGGGAATGAGTAATGCCCCAGCTGAGTGGTTGCAAGATTTTTTTCCTGGGTTGGGCCCCTGACTTCATGATAATGGGACATACCTCACCCCGTTTATTGAACGTGTCTTGGGCAGATTCCATAAATCAATATGAGCTGACATGGTGGTTTTACAGACAGATATTTATTTTTCCTTCGCCAGATAATATCTGTTGCATGTCTCCTCAGAACAGCCCCGTGCATAGATTAGACTAAACGGTGGCAGTGAAGACGATTAAGCAGAACACGGAATGCAATCTTTTGTGTGTCCTCTTCCATCTTTTTGGTGGTATCTCACATGGGATCCTTGGGGCTGGTTGTAGGGTAGATCGTTAGATGGTGGGTGGTCAATATGGATGATCATTAGGACTTCTTTTTTAATGGTGGCTTTTTTGGTCAATCTGAAGCTATCCAAAACTCCTTGGCCAACCTTCTTAGCATAACTCCATAGATTATATATATATATGGCTCTTGATGCGGATGAAGGAGGAGAGTGCAAAAGTTGTGCTTGAAACTCAACATTAAGAAAACTAAGATCGTGGCATCTGGCCCTCTCAATTCCTGGCAAATAGATGGAGAAGAAATGGAGGGAGTGACAGATTTTATTTTCCTGGGCTCCAAGATCGCCGCAGATTGGGGACTGCAGCCAAGAAATTGAAAGACGCTTGCTCCTGGGGAGGAAAGACATGGCAAATCTAGACAGCATACTAAAAAGCAGAGACATCACCCTGCCATCCAAAGTACGTCTAGTCAAGGAGATGGTTTTCCCAGTTGCAATGGATGGCTGTGAAAGTTGGATGGTAAGGAAGGCTGAGCACCAAAGAATTGAGGCCTTTGAACGGTGCTGGAGCGGTGCTGGAGAAGGCTCCTGTGAGTCCCTTGGATTGCAAGGCGATCCAACCGGTCAGTCCTGGGAGAGATCAACCCTGACTGCTCTTTAGAAGGCCAGATCCTGAAGATGAAAGTCAAATTCTTTGGCCACCTAATGAGAAGGAAGGACTCCCCGGAGAAGAGCCGAATGCTGGGAACGATGGAGGGCAAAAGAAGAAGGGGATGACAGAGAACGAGATGGTTGGATGGAGTTATCAAAGCAGTCGGCGTGAGCTTCAATGGACTCCAGAGGATGGTAGACGACAGGAAGGCCTGGAGGAACGTTGTCCATGGGGTCACAATGGGTCATACATGACTTCGCAACTAACAACAACACATAGATATATATATATGTGACATTGAAACCCTGCAGAATTAAGAGGTCTTCTGAAGGCAGTAGACCACCAAAGGAAAAGCATCTTTGTGTCAATAAAAGAGACAATTGGGAGAGGAACAGGAGAGAAACTTTTAAGATTTGAGTTGGATTTATTCAAACCGGCTTTGTTCCAATCAGTGCACAACATGAAGTCCTTTTTCTTTTAACTTTCATACTAATACAATCTTCATCCTAAACAATTTAAGTGTATTCGGGGTTGCTCTTCTACCATTTCATCTCCCTTGTTTTACAATAATCCTTCTTCTCCCTCTCCTCTCTTTCCTTTCTCTCCCTTCTTCCATCTACTCTTCTGCTTTCTTCTTTCCTCCTCTCCTTCTCCTCCTCTCCTTCCCCCTTCCTTTCCCCCCACACTTCCCTTCTTCCTCTCTTCTAACTGTCTCTCCTACTCTTGTTTCCCCTCTCTTTCTTCCTCTCCTTTTCCCTTTCTTCTTTCCTTCTCTCTCCTTCCTCTCTTGTTAGATAAGAAGCTGTACATTTAAGATATGTTTATGAGAGGGGGAAATAAAAAAAAACTTTTTCAAAAAAAAAATCACCAAAGTCCATTATCATTTTTAAGATGTCCTTCTCCTAGCTTAATGTCGCTATTTTCCCTTGAAAAAATATCTGAAGGTACTAAGAGTGGACAACTCCTTCCACATTTGCTTCACCATAAGGTTAAAATGTTCCTTCTGGCATAATCAGAAATAACTGATGGAGAAACAAGAGAAAAATCTAAGCCATAGTTTCTCCTTTAAGGAATCTGGAGTCTCCGTATTTTGCAGGAATGTTGGTAGAAACCAACTTGGTAGAAATCGCCTGGAACTTCTTCTGGTGGTTCACCTCAGACAATCGTCCTGCAGCTGCCAAGGCCAAGATAAATAAGATTGCAAGACATTCCAACGTCGAACATTAGCATGAAGATGAAAAAATTCCCGAGATGTTTGCTGAAGTTAATTAATAAAACCAGCTATCTCAGGAGTTACCCTGTTAAGGAAGCAATGCTGATTTGGGGATTTTTGCCCGGGGGGGGCGGGAAATCCGATTTGCTGATTCAGCATAAATCCATTTTGAAATGTTTGCAAGACGGGGCGAATGGAAGGGACAATCTCTCACACCCTTTCTCAGCAATATTTCAATGTCGGTTGCCAACTGTCAAGGTTGGCTCATTTTTTGGCAGCCCGGCGTGCTTTGACAAATTGAGCTGTACCTCTTTTGAAAAAAGCACCCAAAGATTAGGAACGGGCAGGAAGTTTTGCAATAAAAATTAAGACATTTCAGCGGGTATAAAACATCTGTAGTCGAATGGCAAAATTCCTGTAGAGGAACCAGAATAATAGAATAACAAAGCCGGAAGGGACATTGGAGGTCTTCTAGTCCAACCCCCTGCTTAAGCAGGAGATCCTACACCAGTGATGGCTAACCTTTTTGCCATCACGTGCCAGGGACAGGGGGGGATCACACATGTGTGTGCCCAATTACCCATAATTCTATGTGCCGTGCCCCCACGCATGCGCGCATGACCCCACTCCCCCGCTGCCCCTGCTCCTAGCACGCGATGGCACGGTAGGCCCGTTTTTTGCTCTCCCCAGCCTCCAGAGTCTTTCTAGGAGTCTGGGGAGGGTGAAAACAGCCTTCCCCACCTCTCCGGAGGCCCTCCGGAGGCCGAAAATGGCGTTTCCCTACTTCTGGTGGGCCCAGAAGGCCTGAAAATCAGCTGGCCTATGACCGGAGTTGAACTCACATGCCCATCGATATGGCTACACATGCCACCTGTGGCATGCGTGTCATAGGTTCGCCTTTTAAGAAGAGACTGGTTGTCCAGTCTCTTCTTAAAAGCTTCCAGAGTTGGAGCCCTCACAACTTCAGGTGGCACCCACAATTTCCACTGATTAATCATTCTCGCTGTCAGGAAATTTCTCCTGAATTTCAGGTTGCTTCTCTCCTTGGTTAGTTTCCATCCATTGTTTCTTCACCTGCCTTCTGGTGCTTTGGAGAATAGGTGGACATCCCACCCCCCTCTTCTTTGTGGCAACCCCTTAAATATTGGAAGACTGCTATCATGTCATCCTTAGTCCTTCTTTTCCTTAAATTGAATATATCCAATTCCTATAACCGTTCTTCGTGTGTTTTAGCCAGAAGGAGTTTGTGGGAAGATCTAAGATAATTCTGAGATTCAATTCAGAAGACATGGGGTTCAATCTCTGAATTGAATGAGATTCAATCCAATCATAAGGTCAGGTTTCAACTATAAAATTGAACTGATTTTACAATCTTTCTCCATGGATAAAAAAAAACTCTCTTCACAGTCCATTCCCACCCAGAATTCTAGACACTTCAGATGCTAACCATGAAAAAGATGGATAATGTATAACATTCAAACGGATATAAGATAGAGGAGATTCATGATGCCTGATATTCTAATAATGTCTTACGTTTCTCAAATTTTTCCCTTTTTTAAAAAAAAAGTACCCATGATTGCAACATAGAAGTCTTTCCATGGCAGGGGGAAAAAAACCCGACCTTCGATTAAGAACTTGATCGATTGTCTTTTCCTCAATTAATTAATTAATCCAGAAAGCAACGATGGTTATTTCAAGCTTTTAGACTCATGTAAGGCCTTCTGTGGATGTAACAGTAACAGATTTGGATGGGACCTTGGAGGTCATTTAGCCCAACCCCACCCTCTGATCCAAAGCAACTGAACGTGGACACAAATCTGGAGATTTAGACTTCTCACATGACCTTGTATCTAAGTAGAAGATGTATATTTAATTTAAAGAGAGTCTTCCCTCACTCAACAATGACTTTCTCATTTCCCACTGACTTTGTTCAATGACCACCCAAGAGCCAAAGAAGAAGAAGATCTCAAAAGCTGTAGATGCATGGAGGACACCATCCCTTTTGAGATGACACTTCCGAGTCAAATAAAAACTTCTGATTACCTTCGCGCAAAGAAGGTGGCCCGTCGGTCCATCACGGGTCACCTTATCCCCTTCCTCACTTTTCTTTTTCTAGGCATAGCCCTGCCAGTTCTGAGGGTGAAGGATCTAAGAACTTCCCTCTACCATATGGGTCAATCATGAAGAGGATTGGCAGATATTGCATCAAACCGTCTCAAGAAGCAATGTTCAAGAAGGGAGTTGCCTTCCTGAAGAGAGTGATTAATTCAGCCTTGTGAAAAGTTAGAGTCACCCTGATTTACACACCCTATCAGAAGGGCTGGGCTTGGGGACAATATAAAAGTGTTTAACATTGGGGAACAACTTAATTCCTTCCAGCATTATCTTGGAGACCTGTCAGGTAAGGCTCTTAGCACTTCTCGACGGAGTCCTAATTCCATCCTGATCGCCTACATTTCTCGGGTTGCTTGGATCATCTCTTTCAGCTCCGGTGCTGCTATTACTGCCCGTACAAAGCTCCTCCTCGCCTCGCTACTGGGGTTACTACTCATCGTGCTACTACAGCGTGTAGCTACTGTTCCTACGATTGTAACGTTTCGTGGGTAACTGCGCAGTAAGGGTAATTCATTTAACGGGGTGTTTATTGTAGGAAGACAATTCGTTCCGCATTTTTGCGTTGTTCGGTAGAAAGCTTTTAGATTTCATCCATCCATTTTTGGATGATGAGATACAAATTGTGATGATAATCAAAATAACAGAGTTGGAAGGGAGCTTGGAAGTCTTCTATCCAGGGGTCTCCAACCTTGGCAACTTTAAGACTTGTGGAGTTCAACTCAGGGGTGAAATCTACTTACCTTCCTTACCGGTTCAGAAGTGCATGCACTACACATGCGCAGAAGATAAAGAATACATTACTTCCTGGTTAAAACCGGATTGCCCGATCCGGTCTGAACCGGGAGGATTTCACCCCTGCTTCAACTCCCAGAATTCCTCAGCCACCTGTCTGAGGAATTCTGGGAGTTGAAGTCCACAAGTCTTAAAGTTGCCAAGGTTGGAGACCCCTGTTCTAGTCCAAACTCTCCTGCTCAGGCAGGGGTCCCTATACCAATCCAGACCAATGGTTGTCCAACCTCTTCTTAAAAACTTCCAATGTTGGAGCATCCACAACTTCTGGAGACGATCCTTGGGATTCCTTCACCGGGTTGTGGAGCTATTAATGCTAAGTGGTTTGTTTGATCGTTCCTTTCCTTGCAAATGTTTCGTGTCTGTGAAAAGGTGAGAACGTCCAACGCGAACCCTTTTTCTCTGATTTGCAGGTTTTTTGCAGTGAAAATGGCATCTTCCCAGCACCAGCATCAACGCAAGCAAGCTCCGACTTTGCCCCCTGAAGTCTGCAAGACAGCGCCGTGCCCACCGGAGCAGCAATGCAAACAACCCCCAGTTGTGGACGTGCCAACTCCACATGTGCCAGAACCTAAGCCGTGTCCTCCACAGGAGCCACCATGCAAGGAACCACCAGTGGTGATCATCCCGTGTCCAGAGCCTAAGCCATGTCCTCCAAAGGAGCCTCCGTGCAAGGAGCCACCAGTGGTGGTCATCCCGACTCCATGTCCAGAACCTAAGCCATGTCCTCCAAAGGAGCCTCCATGCAAGGAACCTCCAGCTCCAACCCCATGTCCTCCACAGGAGGAACAGTGTTGTCAACAGAAATCTCAATGCAAGGAGCCACCCGTTATCCCAACTCCATGCCCAGAGCCCAAACCACCACAAGAGCCTCCATGCAAGGAGCCACCAATCGTGGTTATCCCTCCACAAAAACCTCCATGCAAAGAGCCACCAGCACCAACTCCATGTTCTCCTAAAGAACCAGAACCGTGTCCTCCAAAGGAGCCAACTCCAGATTGTCAACAGAAGACTCAGTGCAAGCAGCCTCCAACTCCATGTCCAGAACCCAAACCATGTCCTCCACAAGAACCTCCATGCAAGGAGCCACCAGTCGTGGTCATCCCAACTCCGTGCCCAGAACCCAAACCATGTCCTCCACAAGAACCTCCATGCAAGCAGCCACCAGTCGTGGTCATCCCAACTCCGTGCCCAGAACCCAAACCGTGTCCTCCTCAGGAGCCTCCGTGCAAACAGCCACCTCCCTGTGACCAACAGCAGCAGAAGAAGCAGCCATGTTCATGGCCACCCCAGAATAAATGAGCGAGTCAGTGAAGAATCCATCTCTCTGAGTCTACATCTTACCACATCAAACATACCTCATCTTTGTATCCCTTTGAAATGCTTTAAGAAATTCTTCTAACGTTGCAGAAGTCTCACCCAGAAGTCTCATCATGTCTATAAATGTGATCATGTTTCAATTTCCAACCAGAGTGGATTTTTCAATAGAGGCGCAATATAATCTCGAATGTTCTCCTTTTTGGGGGGTGTTTTCTCTTTATGTTAACCATACTGTTGCGTTTATTCTACCTTAACAGTCATAGTCTCGCTCATCTGTAAAATTTGTAATTACTTCTTATTCTTTGTACCATTTATATATCCCCGAAGGAGGTGTGATGGGGGACTCGGTTGGTTTTCCACACCAGCCATTCTCAAAGAACACTGCAGAGTTGGGTGTCGGTGAAACGCAAAGCTAGCTTAGGCCCTCCAAAGTTGGACTTTGAGAAGTGAGAGAGAAGGTCCACCTTGTTATTTAAGCTCCTCCCCTTCGCTATCAGGAGAGACCTAGTCTAGTCAGCTATTTGCCCCACACTTTAGATAGGACAAATTCCTAAGTCAACCAAAATGGAAGATCTGCTCTCTGTAGAGAAGAAATTGGGGGTTGGTGGTTCTCCAGAGGTTGATAGACTATCATTGGACCAATGGTCTTATTGGCTAGGATGGGTAGAAATTGGATGACAAACCATATCCCAAGGGCCATAAATTCTTCACCTTGGTTTGGAAAGTCCAACATACCTTTAGGTCCTGCAAAATGCTTTTCAAAAGGTGTCTTCTGGAATGGCAAGACCCATCAGAAGACACTGGGAAGTTCTTTAATCTTCAGGGAGAAGGTCAGGAGAAGCTCAACCTCTCAGATGCCCATGGAATATTGGGGAAAGGCTGAAACTTTTCAGGGTTTCTCAATCAGAGTGAACACCCCCAAAATAATTAACCTTCAGAAAATCATGGTTTTAGTACAGTAAATACAGGTTTAATTTTTATTATTTTTAAATTGTGAACTGGATGGCAGGAAGCTGATTTTGCCAGATGACACCTGTATCATGATTGGGTAGCAAGCGTGTCTCCTCTCCATGGAGTCAACATGTTGCCATAAAGATGCTGAGTCTTCATACTTCTGAATTTATCTTTAACCAACTTGTAAATAAATTGAACGAATAAAGGAAAAACAATGAATCCGTTGACTTTTGTTTTGAAAGTTCTACATCTAATTTGGGTTTTTTAAAAAAACAACAACACTGCATCGATTTTGGTTCCTGGAAATTCAATATTGACTTTAATTTTTTAAAAAAAATACTAATTATACAAAGCAAGTAGAGTGTCTTAAGGAATGAGGGGTAAAGCAGAGAGTGGGTTGGACAGATGTAGATAAGTTAACGTCTTCCAGTTCAGTTCCCAAACTAGGCCAACTGAGGTTGACCTCAACAAGATGTCAAACACAGGTAACACACCTCCCAAATTTCAGAGAGAGTGTTCATGCCAAGTCTTACGCAAAGCAACGTTTAAGAATTTGAGATCTGCCAGATCTGAGCTGGTGCTAAGATGAAAACTGGGTCATTTGAAAAATCAGCTCGGACTTCCCATGTAGTCAAAGTCCACAATCTGTAGGTCGAATAGAATAGATTTAGAATTGGGAAGCACCTTGGCTTCTATTTTTGACTAAGTGAGGAGATGACCCAGGGGTAAAATCTACTTACCTTCCCAACCGCTTTGGAAGTGCACACACTGCATGTGCTTATGCTCTGTGCATGAACCACCGGCCGTCATCGCTACCTGTTCATTTCACCCCTGAGATGACCTCAAGCCAGTAGCAGAGACAGAGGCTTGGCGGTGGCCACTTTATCTTCTCAGTTTTCTAATCGCACCCCACTGCTAGAGAAGAAGACCTATACATTTCACATAAAGTTTCCTGGAGAACATCAATCACTGTTAGATGATCATCTTGAGATCAGGACTTCAGAACCATCAGCAGAAGTACAATTAGTGGGCCTTCAAAAGTGTGAACCGTGACAAGGAGGAGACCATCCCACCACACTCCAAAGGACGCCAACCACATGGTACAAGCAGAACCAGGAGATCAGGACATAGATCTGGAGAACTTCCAGATGTGCCCACTTCAAATCCCATGAATTCCCCAGCCAGCATGGCCCTTGGGGGAGAATTCTGGGATTTGAAATCTCCGCGACAAGAGGTTAGATGATCAGAACGTAGATCAACAATAGAGAAGGCCTTCTAGGAAGCAACTGGTCTACTCAAGTCTACCTACTCCATGCAATCTTTTGGTGATTTTTGGTCAGTGCCTGGAATGCACCACCTGATTCTGTAGTTTCTTCCCCAAACCCCCAAAACTTTAACCTTAAACTGTCTATTGTTGACCTCACCCCATTCCTAAGAGGTCTGTAAGGGGCGTGTATAAGCGCACCAGCGTGCCTAAAGTTCCTGTCCTAATATTCCTTTTTACTTACTCTTTTCATGTATTCAAATTATGTTTATATTTTTTACCTGTAATCTTATATATGCTTGACAAATAAATAAACTTAAACTTAAACCAAATGTAGGGAAGCAATTGTAACTTATCAATGAAAAAATACTGTACTGATAAGAGGTCGATTAACAATGATATGCAAAAAAAAACCCAAAACAAATTGCAACATTGATAAGAAAGAGAAGATGTGTTGTGTATGCTGATGAGTATGCTGATGCAGACACAACATGGGAAGGCTGACAGTACACAATTAGCCTACTCTTTGTCTACTGATTTACGCTAGGTTGTAAGAAAAGCAGATTTACTGCCCCAACGTGTCTATTCACTTTCCTTCTTCCTGGTCCTTCCTCCAGCTTCTAGTTCTTATCGGAATAAAAATATTCGGATTCAGCCAGTCTTGCAAAATTCACATCAGGAAGTTGTGTGTGTGTTGTTGTTTTTTTAAAAGAGACCTATCTCTGTAGGCTGAATTTGGGCAGGGAAAAAAAAAAAGGAGAAGGTTTGTGGAAGAAGGAAGAACATTAAGGAAGCTGAGTGGGAAAGGGTTTAATAGTAGGATATATCTGGGAACCTGAAATGATTTAAATATGGTAAAAAGCACCCAAAGAACAACATCAGCCAAAAAAAAAAAAAAAAAAACACAACCTCCCCTATTTTTGGAAATGGTTCAAGAGGGAACACACACATACACGAGAGAGGGGGGAGATGAGAGAGAGGGAGATGAGAGAGGGAGAGGGAGGGAGAGAGGGAGGGAGAGAGGGAGATGAGAGAGGGAGGGAGGTTGAGAGATGAGAGGGAGGGAGGGAGACAGATGAGAGAGAGGGAGGGAGGGAGAGAGATGAGAGAGAGGGAGATGAGAGAGAGGGAGGGAGGGAGAGAGATGAGAGAGAGGGAGATGAGAGAGAGGGAGGGAGGGAGAGAGAGAGAGAGAGAGAGAGAGGGAGAGAGAGAGAGAGAGAGGTTTCTGGGATTTCATAACCTACTAGATTGTTCCCAGTTGCAATGTCTGGTCTGTGGATCATAAGAAAGGCTGAGCACCAAAGAATGGAGGCCTTTGAACTCTGGTGCTGGAGAAGACTTCTGCGAGTCCCTTGGACTGCCAGGCAATCAAACCAGTCGGTCCTAAAGGAGATCAACCCTGATTGCTCTCTAGAAGGCCAGATCCTGAAGAGGAAACTCAAAGATTTTGGCCGCCTAATGAGAAGGAAGGACTCCCTGGAGAAGAGCCTAATGCTGGGAACGATGGAGGGCAAAAGAAGAAGAAGGGGACGGCAGAGAACGAGGAGGCTGGATGGAGTCATGGAAGCAGTCGGCGTGAGCTTCAATGGACTCCAGAGGATGGTAGAGGACAGGAAGGCCTGGAGGAACGTTGTCCATGGGGTCGCGATGGGTCAGACACGACTTCGCAACTAACGACAACAACACTAGATTATCTTGATGGAAAAAGTTTCACTCTGATTTCTCTTGCTCAGTTAAAGGGTGAAATTCCTATTGGGGCTCATATTTATACCCTGATTTATTGGGTTGCTCCATGAAACGTTGGGATATAAATGTTAGACTAGTGAGAAAAATGTGTCATTCGCTAGGAAGAATCCTTGACTTCTTCCTTCAACAGGTAATCCTTGACTTACAACCATTAATTTAGTGACTGTTTCAAGTTACAACAGCACTGAAAAAAGTGACTTATGACCATTTTTTCACACTTATGACCGCTGCACCGTAGTCCCATGATCAAAATTCAGATGCTTGGCAACTGAGTCATATTTATGATGGTCGGAATGTCCACAGGGTCAAGTGGACATGTGACCTTTTGACCAGCAAAGTCACTTAACAACTGGATGATTAACTTAACAATGGCAGTGGTTCACTTAAGGACTGTGGCAAGAAAGGTCATAAAATGGGGCAAAATTCACTTAACAAATGTCTCGCTTAAGAACAGAAATTTTGGGCTCAATTATGGTCATACGTTGAGCATTATCTGTATCTGAAAAAACGTAGAGTTTGAAATGTACAAAATATTTAGATTTAGAGGGGGGAAACAGTCAACATTTGGGTTGGGTTGGGTTGGGTTGGGCTGGGTTGGGTTGGGTTGGTTGAGTTGGGTTGGGTTGGGTTGGGTTGGGTTGGGTTGGGTTGGGTTGGGTTGGGTTGAGTTGGAATGGATTGGATTGGGTTGGGTTGGGTTGGGTATAGTTCATCCCATTCCTTAAAACTCTTATCGATAGTAAAGATTTGACTGGGACAACACTACAGGTAGGATTAAAGTCATGAAACAGTGGTCTTAAATTCACACCACTTTAAATACACAATGGAGGCAAGCTTGTCCTCTGCCATTCTGAGGAGCCCAGTGAGATGTTGGTGGCTCCAAGATCCGTTTCAATGCAAGAAAACCAAGCTAGGCAAGAAAGCAACCGCACAGCAGAATGAAATGTACGGACGAGGCATGAGCACCGAGAAGGTCCGTGAGAAGAATGAGGAGACGAGTGGGGATATGCTTACAGACAAACATTTATTGGTGGGCTTCCATCTCTAGGCGAGAGACGCTTCCTAAGGGAGTTTAGCACTGCTGCTGGGAGAGGCGGCAGAAACACCCCTCGTTTCCAGATGGGCAGGTGGGATTCTGGCATGAACTTCCAGTCGATCCTGGGCACTGAGATCCAGTAGATCCTGGGCACTGATATTCAGTAGAATCCTGGGCACTGAGGTCCAGTCGATCCTGGGCACTGATATTCAGTAGATCCTGGGCACTGATATTCAGTAGATCCTGGGCACTGAGGTCCAGTCGATCCTGGGCACTGATATTCAGTAGATCCTGGGCACTGAATTCAGTAGATCCTGGGCACTGAGGTCCAGTCGATCCTGGGCACTGAGGTCCAGATGATACATAACAGGTTGGTGGCTCAAAGGGCTTTGAGCAACTTGAAGTACACTGGCAAAGTACCGGTGGGACACATGGGGTCTGCTTGCACTGCTGTTGAGACATCGTCAGCTCGGGGACAGCTGAAAAGATACAGAGCAAAGATGCATTTGTGTCACATTGAAGGACACAAATCTCTCCATGACTTGTCTTGGGATTCTTGGGGGAAGAGAGAGAACCTTGTTCTGTGCTAGAGTTACAACCAAAACATCTTGTCCTACAGATTTGGGGCAATAAATTTGATGGGGGTGGGGAGGTCCCAGATCACAGTCCTGGTACATTTGTCAACCTGGTCACCCTAGCTTTCACTCAGCAAATCACAGGCAAATTTTCAGCTTAATTAAACCTTGGTTCTTAAAGATCCTGGATAAGTTCATGCAATCTTCAAAACAAGGAGATGGAGGAGAGGGAGACAGGGAGAGAACAGAGGGGGGGAAGGGGGAGAAAGAAAGGGGGAGAAAGGAAAATGGAGAGAGGGAGAGAAGGAGAGGGAGAGGAAAAGGGAGAGAGAAAGAGGGAGAGACAGAGAGGGGAGAGGGAAAGGGGGAGAGAGGGAAAGTGAGAGGGGGGAAAGGGAGGGAAAGGGAGAGAAAAGAAAAGTGAGAGAGAGGAGAGAGAGAGAAGGAGAGAGAGGGGAAAAGGGAGAGAGAAAGAGGGAGAGACAGAGAGGGGGAGGGGGGAGAGGAAAAGGAGGAGAGGGGGAAAGGGAGAGAAAGGGAGAGAAAGGAAAGGAGAGAGGGGAGAAGGAGAGGGAGAGAGGGAGAGACAGAGGGGGGAGACAGAAAGGGGGAGAGGGGGAGAGGAAAAGGGAGAGAGAGAAAAGGGGAGAGAGAGGGGAGAGGAAAAGAGAGAGAGAGAGAGAGACTGTTGAGTGTTTTAACTACAATAATAAGAACCAACACAAACTAAATAGAACTAAAAAGAAGAAAGAGAAAGGGACCAATAACAGGAAAAAGCTAAAATTGGGCGGGGAAAGTAAGAAGATGAAGAAAAAGACAAAGGAAAAGTAGAAAAAATATACCAAGAAGTGGCTTCCCATTTTCTTCAAAGCAGTTACAAGTACAATTATATTTTAACCTCCCTCTCTCAGGTTACATACACCTTGACTCATTTCTTTCTCAATCTTCAAAAGGAGGACTCCAAAGTGGAGATCAAAGAGAATCATGTGGAGAGGGCTGGACTAGCTGTCCACCTTTTGAAATCACACCCACTTCTCCGCTAATGAGATCTAAAATAACCAAACTGAGTTAACAAGAGAGATTTTTGGGAAGGGCCGTTCGTTAAGTAGGAACCTAAATGAGTACATGTGAAATCTCAGCTTCTCATCTTGAGCCGTGAGTTGAGAAAGAGAGCTGAGCAAACAGCTCTTTGACTGAGGAACATGGTCAATCAAGTGCCATCTACTGTGCAGAAGAAGACATCAGCCTGAAGGAACTTCAGCTGAGCATTTCTTCTCCACAGAAGGTGAAGAAAAGTCTGCCTGAGGTCTATCTATCCCATCCTAGATAAAATAGTCTTGATGTTTTCCATAATTAACATCCAGCTAAAGGACCATCAAAATCCCATTAATTCAACATTAGGCATCATTCAACCTTGAAAATATAATCGCCGCAAGTAGATCTTGAGGAACAGGTATCTAAGTTGAGTTTGCACCTTGCTTTCCAATGGATGTAGTTGCGGACAACCCTTGCTAGATCATTACCTGAACCAACTGACTACGGAAATTGTTGACCCTTGATGAAGAATTGGGCAGAGAGAGAGAGAGAGATGTCCCAAAACAAATAGAACCAACTTACCCACGACTTGTTGACAGACGGTGATGCTAAAGGAAGGCTGAAAGTTTTGTCAGGTGTCCAAAGGAAAGAGCTTATATAGCTCCTCATGCCATAATTCATCAGGAGACACAGATGACAAGGTCTGTGTCTTTGGCGAAGATTGACAGAACGAGAAGCCACCCTGGTGGCATCATGGGGCTTTCAGCTCCTAAATTTCCCTTTTTTTTTTTCCTAAAAAAGAAAATCAAAGAACAGAAGAAGCATTCGCCCTCGTGGAGAACAACGTGTGTCTCTTAATTAGGTTTTGATAGATGGCTAATGAAGCATTCCTAAGTTTGTCTTCCGATCTCACGTGGTTTGGAAAAGCCAATCTTGGCTGATGGCCATCAACTTCAGCTGGCATCATGGGGGGAAATGAAGGCCAGAAGGAGAAGGTCCAGCAAATTTGGCATCCTGGATACGTCCCTACCCCCCAAATCTAAGTGCAAATTCTTAGAGGGCTTAGTTACCTAAATTAATTAAGTTGACCTCAACTGGAGGAAAAGTGGCCCAAATTAAAGCCAACTTGGAAAAGAGACAAGAATCTTTGTTGGGTTATGAAATGTTCCCCTACCACCAATCTGCTATTTAAGGTGCCCTTTGTTGTGGGGACGCGGTGGCTCAATGGCTAAGATGTTGAGCTGGTCGGTCGAAAGGTCGACAGTTCAGCGGTTCGAATCCCTAGTGCCGCGTAACGGGGTGAGCTCCCATGACTTGTCCCAGCTTCTGGGACAACCTAGCAGTTCGAAAGCATGTAAAAAAAAATGCAAGTAGAAAAATAGGGACCACCTTTGGTGGGAAGGGAACAGCATTCCGTGCGCCTTCGGCATTGAGTCATGCCAGGCACAAGACCACGGAGACGTGTTCGGACAGGGCTGGTTCTTTGGCTTTGAAATGGAGATGAGCACCGCCCCCTAGAGTCGGGAACGACTAGCACATATGTGCGAGGGGAACCTTTACCCGTTCTGGCGATGGTTGTTATTTTATTCTTCAAGGAATAACCTAGGATGAAGAGCAAATAAAATGGTGATGTTCTTTAGATGTATCAACTCCGATCATAAACTTAGCAATTATCCAAGTAATGTCATTATTATTTCCCACTTTGTCTTCTTCCTCCAGCTCATCTATCTACTTCTTCTTCTTTTTCTCCCAAACATTTTTGATGTTTTTCCAAAGCATTTTCAGATCACCCTTTAGCCCCCACCCCCAAAAAATATCCTGTCCTGGAAGGACAGTCTTGCAGTAGGATATTGAAGTAGGTAGCTTTTGACCAACATGTGAACTTCGAAAATCACCCAGCATTCACTCTGAACAGATTTTGACCATCTCAGGAGACCACGACTGGAAAAAGTGGTCCTGAATTGATGATATGTGAGAAGGCCAGAGAGGAGTAGTTGAGCGAGAAGACCTCAATGTTGGTGGCCACCACATTTGACTTGATCACTCAAACTCGTTACTCTCTGAAGGAAAGTTGCACGCCCTCATTAAATCGGACGTGTTTTCAAAACAGGGTGTTTAATTACTGGAGAAAAAGAGCTAAAAATCACAAAGAATCCATTTGAGGAAGATCTCGTGATGACAAGAGGGGTGTTGAAGCTGGATGAGTCTTCAGTCGCTCACGTTGACTTCCTGGGTAGGTTAGAAGTGGAAGGACCTCTACGGGTATAAAAAGACCAGATGCGGCTCCAGATCCAACAAGCGTTCCTCTCCTGTCTGCCGGGACAAAGTTCACATTTTGTATTGGGTAAGTTGACTTTGGGCTGGTTGTCTCTTGAGCAGTGGGCAAAGTGGTGGATCTTCCTTGGGTTTGGCATAGAAGGAAGGAGCAGCTGAGGACTGGCATAGAAGGAAGGGTCTAGAGCAGAGGTCTTCAAACTTGGCAGCTTTAAGACTTGTGGACTTCAACTCCCAGGAATTGAAGTCCACAAGTCTTAAAGCTGCCAAGTTTGAAGACCTCTGGTCTAAAGTCTTTTTTTTTTTTTTTGACTCTGGTGGACCAAGATATGGAAGCAAACATAGCTTTCCTTTGAATTTTGGAGGAAGGGAGGTGGTAAGGAGGGAAAAAAGGAGAGGAAAAGCATGGAGGTTGAGGGGAAACATCCCTTCTCCTGAAGATGAAGTGATCCTTCAAATGGACATCGTTCGTTTTATTCTCCTGGAGGATTCCAGGGCCGGTTTTGATGATTGAGGAAGAGGTTTTCATGGGCTTTTCTTTTCTTCCAGATCACCCAAAAAACAAATCTACAATGCAGCAGACCAAGCAGCCTCAGGGATTCCCCCCAATGGGCCAGACCACCAACCAATGCAAAGGCGGCCAGAGCCAAGTACCAGCTATGCAACAGAGCCAAGGATCGGCCGGGTGCGGAGGCTCAGGTGTGAGCCAGTGCCAGGATTCGGCACCATCCCAATGCCACGGCTCAGGGGTGACCCAGGTCCAGTCATCCAGTGTGAGCCAGATGCAGGGACATGGTGTGAGCCAGATGCAGGGACATGGTGTGAGCCAGATGCAGGGATCAGGGGTGACCCAGATTCAATCCTCAGGGTTCAGCCAAAGCCAGGCATCTGGTATGGGCCAATGCCAGGAATCTGGCATCAGCCAGTGCCAGGGATCTGGTGGAAACCAGTGCAAGGGATCAATTGGAGGCCAGTGCAAGGGATCCTCTGGGGACCACTGCAGCTGCTCAACCAGTGAGCCAGGGCAAGGGATCAAGTGGAGGCCAGGTCAAGGGATGCCCCGTGGACCAGTGCGGAAGCTCCAATGTCTGCCATGGCAAGGGATCAAGTGGAGGCCAGGTCAAGGGATGCCCCGTGGACCAGTGCGGAAGCTCCAATGTCTGCCAGGGCAAGGGATCAAGTGGAGGCCAGGTCAAGGGATGCCACGTGGACCAGTGCGGAAGCTCCAATGTCTGCCATGGCAAGGGATCAAGTGGAGGCCAGGTCAAGGGATGCCCGTGGACCAGTGCGGAAGCTCCAATGTCTGCCAGGGCAAGGGATCAAGTGGAGGCCAGGTCAAGGGATGCCACGTGGACCAGTGTGGAAGCTCCAATGTCTGCCAGGGCAAGGGATCAAGTGGAGGCCAGGTCAAGGGATGCCACGTGACCAGTGCGGAAGCTCCAATGTCTGCCAGGGCAAGGGATCAAGTGGGGACCAGTGCGGGGGCTCCAAGGGCAAGTACTAAAGATCTGCTGAGGGCACAGAGCACAACGGGCACTGCCAACCTGACCACCAAGGATCCGGCCCATGCTAAGGGTGCTTAGCCCACTCATCACTCCAGAGGAACCAAGCTGCTAAAAGGAAATTTGGAAGTCTCCACTCTTCTCTCTGCCGTCCTTGACCTTCGCTCGCCTCTCTACTCTTCCGGTTCATCTGATTCTACGCCAAGCTTTTCAGCCGGCCTCGCATCACATTCTCCAGCCTGCTCCGAGAGTCTGGATTTGTCCTCTACCTTCTCTGTCACTCAGTGCAACCTGTTTGCTTCTCTACATGATCCCAACAAGGCCACTTGTCAATAAATCTTTTTCCAAGCACCCTGGAGTCTCTCGTGTTGACTTGGTTGGTTGGAGGCAGGGAGGGTTGGGGAGAGCTGACAAACATACAACAAGCACTATCAACTGCCATCTTACACTTGCTTGTGCTTCGCTACCATGCGGTGACAATTTACCGTGAACACTGGGAAGGATGGATGCTTGGGGGAAAGCGAAAGTAACGGCTGCATCTCCCCGAGATGCTGCCTCAAGGTCACCCAGCTGGGAGAAGAAGGCAGTTGCTTACCAACCTACGATTCAAGTGACTGTTCTGAAAACATCTTGCTTGAACCCAACCGGTCATGGGTGGTCAGGAATAGGAGGCAGTTAAGGGAGGGAAAGGTTTAATTTAGGGATTTGGGGGTCGTGATTCTCAGTTCTGGCTTTGCAATGCCGCCATACATTTGACGAACTATGGCTGTCTCAGCACATGGAACCCAGGATGATTTGTGTTCAGAGGTTTAAGCGGTGGCAGGTCTGACAAAGCATAATTCTGGTTTTCCCTCTTTGACAGAGCTTGTTGTGGCCTGTCTGGTGGAGTGAAGGGAGGAAAGAAGCTTGGGTGGGTACGGAAATGAAAACGCTGCTCCCACAAAAAAGGAAAGGAACCTTCCTGAACTCATAATTATGAATAGCTTAAATTTATAACCTATCGGAATGTCATTCTTCGAGATCGTTTTTCCTCCCAGCTGGGTTGAACCTCTGGCTCTAAGGTACACTGCCCCGGTATGTAGAGGTTCCATTTATTTATTTATTTATACAAGTAATCCTTGACTTAACAACAATTCATGTAGTGATTGTCCGAAGTTACAATGGCACTGGAAAAAAGTGACTTATGACCGTTTTTCACTCTTACGACCATCGCAGCATCTTCGTGGTGACGCAATTTATATTCGTACACTTGAAAACTGATTCACATTTATGATGGCTGCAGCGTCGCGATCAGAGGTGGGTTTCGGCAGGTTCTGACCAGTTCTGGGGAACCGGTAGCGGAGATTTTGAGTCGTTCAGAGAACTGGTAGTAAAAATTCTGACTGGCCCCACCCCCCATCTATTCTCTGTCTCCCGAGTCCCAGCTGATCGGGAGGAAATGGGGATTTTGCAGTATCCTTCCCCTGGAGTGGGGTGGGAATGGGGATTTTGCAGTATCCTTCCCCTGGAGTGGGGTGGGAATGGAGATTTTGCAGTATCCTTCCCCTGCCATGCCCACCAAGCCAAGCCACGCCCACAGAACCGATAGTAATAAATTTCGAAACCCACTATTGGTCGCGATCATCTTTTGCGACCTTCTGACAATGAGGAAGTCAGATTCACTCAACAACCGTGTGACTAATTTAAGAACCGCAGCGATTCCGTGAACAAAGGCGACAAGGAACGTCGTAAAACGGGGCAAAACTCAGTTCACAGGTTTCTCACTTAGCAACACCAGTTTTGGGCTCCATTGTGGTCGTACATCGAGGACTACCTGGAATTAAAATACCTCAGGTTCATTTTCCTTCAGTCTCTGGAGTTGTTACCCCAATCAAAATAACTTTCAAATCTGCTCACAATAAAATAATTTGGAAGATGGACTAGAAAACTTTCGAGGTCCTCCCGACCCTAAGAAACTCTAGGATTTCTTGAAAATAGGCCGATAAAGAAAGGACTTTCCATGAAAGGAAATAATAGCAGTCCTTCAAGAGGGAAATATGGGGTTTTTTCCCTCTCCGACATTCCAGACGGTAGCAAACTTTTGACCCTCTTCTAAAAAAGTTAAAACGTGTTTGGACAAATCTCGCCATGAAGGTGGATCCTGACAACCTGGTTTGTTGTTGTTTTTCCACCATCATTAGAAAAAAGAAAAAGAAAATCTGTCAACGTGATTTTGGCAAACGCCCCGTTTCCTTCAGGTGAATGGCTGCTCTCTCTGGGAATAATATATGATTTTTCTAAATAATAATAATAATAATAATGGGTAATCAGAGTCTTTAAAACCCAGCAGAATTAAGGTGGGCGTTTTTTACTCTTTTTCTCAAGGCTGAAAAAGATCTTTAATAATTGCATTTCTTCCCACAATGCTTCAGCAGGTGGCAGCTTGCTCCTTTTGTGGATTCAGAAGCTAAGCAGGGTCGGTCCCGGGTTGAGTTTGAATGGGCAACTTTCTGGAATTCTGGTGTGAATAAGGCATGACTTCCTTAATAACTTCCTTGGGGTCCTACGTTGAGGACTTATTTTATGATTCATTTTATGAAGTCTCAGGGGATTAAAAAGTGCTATGAAAAAAAAGTGAATAGTAAATTGTGCCCGAGAAGGAATTTGCTAACAGATTTTGTTGGATTTGATCCTATCTTCACATCAGATCCATTTTCCCCATTCAACTGACCGATCGATTCTGGTCAACGATGTGAATCTCATATCCAGAGGCGATTTTTTTTTTCTTTTTCTAAACCAGTTGAGAAATCCTGATTAAACTAACCCCTTTTTTGATTTCAACATCCGAATCACACCAAATGATGGGTCTGAATTATCAAATCAAATAGGAGTGGGTTGGATGGGTGCGGGGGCATGATCTTCTGATTCGTTCTTCAATTTCAGGGCGCAGACCTGACCCCTTAAGAAGCCCAAATTGTCAAAGGCAACTCATTGTGTTGCTGATTAAGATCCTGGAAGGATAATTAGAAATCAATTAATGTAGGGAGCACGGCAGGGGTGCTATTCAGCAGGTTCTGGCGAACTGGTAGCGGAAATTTTGAGTAGTTCAGAGAACCAGTAAATACTACCTCTGGCTGGCCCCAGAGTGGGGTGGGAATGGAGATTTTGCAGTATCCTTCCCCTGCCACACTCATCAAGCCACGCCCACCAAGCCACACCACGCCCACCAAGCCACGCCCACAGAACTGGTAGTAAAAAAAATTGAATTCCAACACTAGAGCACCGGGACTCAAGTGGTAGGGACACTGGGCAGGAGGTTAGCGAGCCCGTGTTCGAGTACCCGAGAACTGCTGTGGGACATGGTTGAGCTCCCATCCTTTGCTCCAGCTTCTGCCAGGGTCATGAAAGGAACCCCCAACTGGGTGTCCCTTGGGCAATGGTGACATCTTCAGCTAATCCTTTCAACCCAGAAAGACACGACACGAGTGCAAAAAACAAATTAACCTAGGACCCAAGAGAGATTCCGGCTTTGCATTTTAATTAGATGACCCGAAATGTATTCATTATTTATATTACTTTTTTTTTTTTTGGCACGGCACCACATTTTGTAAGGTAGGAATACATCACAAAATAACACAACTCTTCAGAGGTCACATAATGCCACAAGATAAAGTCTTTATTTATTACAAGCCCAAGATCTGCATTTTGCTCTTTGAAGACTCATTTTTTGTACATAGCTTTCGGTTCCTTCGGCAGAGGCGTCCCTGCCTATCGCAACAGCAAATCCCAGCAACTTACACAACTTAAGGAAAGGAGACAGCCATTGGAATGAGAGAAGTTCGAACATCTGGAAAGTTCAAAGAATTGAGAGATGTTTGACCATCTGGAATCTGAAGAATTGGGAACTGCTCAAATATCTGGAAACTTCAAAGAGTTGAGCCATCTGGAAATGTTGAAGAGTTGAGAGATGTGTGAACATCTGGAAACTGAAGACTTGGGAGCTGCTCAAACATCTGGAAACATTGAAGAATTGAGGGATGCTCATCTGGAAACTTCAAAGAATTGAGAGATGCTCGGACATCTGGAAACATTGAAGAACTGAGAGAAGCTCGAACATCTGGAAACTGCAAAGAATTGAGGGATGTTCGAACATCTGGAGACTTCAAAGAATTGAGAGATGCTCGAACATCTGGAGACTTCGAAGAATTGGGAGATGCTCAAACATCTGGAAACTTTGAAGCAACGTTCCCCAAAACCAAGTGCACGAAGAGGTCAGAAAAAGGCGAAGGAGGAGGTCAAGACTGAACTATTATGGGATGGTGGTTTTTCCGTCATGGTGGATTTGGGATTTTTTTTTTTTTCCCAACAGCCTTATTTACAGCAAGGATCAGGGCACTTGCAATCACATGGGCAAGCACTCTGCGGTTTGACACAGATGTCAACAGCTGGTCCTGCACACTTTGGAGCACACGGAGCACATTTGGGAGGGCAAACGGGGACGCAGGCCTCGCCGACAACTTTCACGCTTGGGGGTGAACAAACGGGCACGTCGCAGGGACAGGGACAAGGGCAAGCCGGCACACATACTTTGCATTGTGAAGCGCATCCCTTTCCGCAGACGGGAGGAGGGAGGCAAGGTTGCTTGCACTGCTGGTATGGATAAGACATTGTCCTTTTCTTTTTTAAAAAAAAAAGACCAATCTGTGAAAATAAATAGAAGAAACGTCATTCCTAGTTGGCACATCCTCAAAGGATCTCAGACACTCAAGAAGGTAGCTTAAAAGGACATCAAGTTGATGAGAAATATTATCTAAAGATCTGAACCCGCCAGAAGTTTCACCTCCAGAACTTCAGCTCTGCTATGATAAGAACAAATCTGCTTGTTACCCCAGGATTCATTTCAACTCTTCTCAAAATAGAGACCTCAGGATTGTATGGACCTGTTCTCCTGAAAGTATTGATCTGGGACTTTGTATCTAGTTCTTCTATCTTGTCCTTTTTCTCTTTCATCTTCTGACTGGTGGGATTTCCATTTAAATCCGCTTCAGAACCAGCAAGGTAACCTCCAGACACATCATTCAATAAGGATACATTTACCCCAT